TTTCTATCCCCTTTGCTCTGAAAATAAAATCCAGTGCGGACAGTTGCATTTAGTATCTTAATTCTAGACATATTATCAAACATTATTTACCCTGCTTTATCTGAAAATAGAAAAATAAGAAACATTATTATTAATCTACAAGGATATGCTTCTCCACCTGAACTGACAGAAGGAGCTGCAGAGATCCACATCTTAGGTGGGAGAATCTATCCAAGTCCACTTCTGCATGTCTGACTCTAAGGACAAAATAGTCCAAAAGAAAATCCAGTCAGCCACAAATGATGTAGGGATGCAGATGTTCTGATCAAATTACACCAAAACATGGTGGTGGAAGCATCATGTAGTGGGGGTACTGTACTCCAGCAGGGAGGGAAAAGATGATCAGAGTTGACAGGAGGTGAAATGGAGCTGACTACAGATTTGATTGGTCAGGAATGGATTAGATCAAAACATATTAATGTGTTAATGGCCCAAAGTCCAAACCTCTGTATTTTTACTAATCTGTGGCAAGAACTGAAATCCACACATGTCCACGTCCAATCAGAGAGAATTAGAAAAAATAAATAAATAAAAGATCTGTCGGTTCTACCAAATCCAGATCTAGAATCACCAGGAAGCTTTCCTACTTATGATAATAATAATCAAACTTTATTGATCTCACATTGGAGAAATTTGGTTCTGCATTTGACTCATCCCCTTGAAGAGCAGTGGGCTGCAATCGTGGGGCATCCGGGGAGCAATCAGGGGTTAAGAGTCTTGCTCAGAGAGACAGAGAGGAAGTGGGGCTCGAACTCAAAACCTCAGGATTCCAAGCTCTAAGCCCTAAACCACCAGGCCGCCACTCCCTCTTATCTACTTTACCTTCTCTGTTTTCTCTCAATCATCAAATGACAGCTTCTTATGCATGTTTTCTCCCGTCTTCATCTCGAGACACACATCCCTCGTCAGTGTGTTTGATTATTTCTAGGGTTATTTATATGGAAGGAGATAACATGAGAAAAAGGGCTCCTCCTTTACCCCCCAGCTGTCACTCAAATAATTCACGAGTTATGTGTACCTCATAGTTCAATCTGTAAAACTCACATGAAGAGAAAAGAGAAATTTATTGAAACAATTACTTTGTCTTTGCCGCTCAGACCTCAGCAGGAAACATAGCCCTTAATTTTTGTTAGATATGAATGAACAGGAGCAAAGAATATGGCTGTTTCCCCCCCAGGCCTGAAACTGATGGTGGAGTGGAGATAGATGAAGTTGGTCAGTCTGTAGACTGCTGGTTAGCGAGACGGTATGCTGAGCTTTATGGAGAGATCCAGTGGATTGCGTGAGTTGATACTAGAGCTTCATTCAGTGACCTGGAAGATGGAAGTCCAGCTGGATAACACAAGTTGAGAGAACCTGTCCACGATGAGCAAGCATGAAACGACAGTGGAGAGGAAAAACTCCCAATTGGGAAGAAATATCTGGCAGAACCAGGCTCAACATGGCGGTCTTCTGCTGGACCGGTTGAGATGAGACAGAGAATGCATTAAGAGTCCAGGAGTAATGAAACTCTGATGAAGCTTTAGCTACGATGGTGGAGGAGGGGCTGGAGGTGGGTTAAAACTGTGTCATCTGAATGAAGTCACAGCGCATCCACCGCCTGTGCACAGGAGCAGACAAGTGCGGATCGGAGGCCTTTTAAGATGAACTTTTGATGCTGATTGGCTTTCGTGGAGGTGTGGTTCAAAGCTGATTGGCTGTGTCGCGGGTGAATGTAGGAGAGCAATGAGTTTCTTTAGTTGACCTTCCGCCTAGGCTCCATATCAGGCTTTATAAAAAAAAAAAAACAATAAGGTACAAAGTGGGTTGCCTATAGGTTCTAAAAAATGCTTAACAGTTGAAAATAATCTGTTTTCTGTTTGTTGACCACCTGGTGGCAGCATTAGCTTAATTAAATGAGATAATATGATGTATTCAAGTTATAGTTGGTGTGATATTTGGAGTTAAATCGAATCAATAAATATTCACCAGTGCTATAACTTCACTAACACATATTGAAAGCACTTTCTCAATACCTAAATGTAAGGTAATAATTTGCTTATAATCTATATGTTAAATAAAAGCAAAGGGCCTCTGCTCCTGACTTAAAAAAATGTGCATTTCTTCTATCAGGTTAGAAGTGAGTTTGTGTGAGAGATTGTGTCTGCAGCTCAAACAGAGCCACCTGTGTTGGATTCGTTGGGGAGTCCAGGACTATTTCATCCTGGGGCAGCTGTGGTCCACTGGCTCCTTCAGCCTTACATCTGGATAGATGGCTTCAGGGGTCGTCAGGGTATGGACCGTGGGAGTATACATGGTGTCAGCTGGAGGGATCACCTCTCTGGTAAGGGAGTTGGTCGCCCTTTCTGCATAACAGAACCTGGACCTGGAGTACAGTGTGTGAGGGGTGCAAGTTTGACCATGGGATCATTATTGTGTGTCATTGAGGGTAATGGTAATGAATGTCCAGAATGTCCAGGTACAGAAATGTCAGCTTAGTGAAAAGATGATTTTATTTTCAAAAGGTGCAGATATTTCAGTTTGTTTATACTGTTTAAATAGTTTTTGTCTTCTTTTTTTTACCTTTCATATTGAGATTATTCTTTTGCAATTAAAGATTGAGGCAACACATTAGCAGGGGTACGAATTCATGTCTTCACATCTGTATGAGTGCATTTGACTTTATTTTCACAAATGTTAAGTAAACCAATTAAAATGTATTCACATTTTATGTATAACTGTCTTATAGTACAGTATATTCAACTATTTTTAAAACTAGACCATTTAAATCAGAAAGAAAAAAATCTTGCATACATCAAAGGAAGGCAATATTCAAAATCAGAGGCACTGAAAATTCAGTTTCAGTTCATCTAGTCTAAAAACATGAATGGAGGTGAGCAATTCCCTCTGCTGTGTGTACAAATGAGAAAGTCTGTATAGTCTATGTGTGTGTTTATGTCTAAAGCCACTTAAAATGGTGAGACAACAAATGGATGTAGGTATATTCTCAGCAGATGCACACCCAAATAAACTGTTTAGAGGAGGGAAACAGAATGTGGATGAAAATGATCCCAAAATGAACAAAAAAACAATAAAACATCCACCTGTTGTCTGAGCCATACCATTTTTTATTTTAAGTACTTCAAAATGTACGTCCCAAAATGAACAAATGTGGAAATATCTGTATTCTAAAGCCATACACAAGCTATAAATATAAGGTTTGTTTGTAGGAATATTTATTTTACAACTGTTAATTCCATTATTCCAGAGAAAATAGGGTAACACAAAAATGAGGTCTTTAAAAGTCCAACATTAACCCTGTATTTAAAGCTTAGATTAAGATTTACGTAATTTAACTTCAAATTAAATTCCTTCATAGCCACATTATCATTAGGCAGATACAGAGGATGGGGGATCTGGGGGTCATCCCACCTGGAATACTTTCATGTAATTGGCTTATAAAAGGGAGCTGATTGGTGGCAAGCCATCCCGTTAAAAAAAAAAATGCATTTGTGTATCGAGGCACATAAAGGGAGTGTCAAAAATCCACTCCCAAATGCAGTGAAATTTAAAGACCACTGATACTTTGTCATTTAATTAATAATTGTTTATGGACCAGAAATTCTTTGGTGAATCTTGTTCTGTGCATGTGTGGATCTGGTGTGTTTGTGTCAGTATTGATGTGCGTCTGTGGATCTTGCCCTTTGTGTGTGTAGATTTTTTCTGTGCTTGCGTAAATCGTGCTTTACATGTATGAATCACATATGTGTATTTGTGAAAACTGATACTAATCTAGCTCCATATGAATGCATTAAGTCTTGTTATAATATGATTACTCCTACAAAAATGAGTGAAAGATGTTTTTAAAAGTCATGGCTCATTATAAGGCACTCCTGAGAGCTTTGATTAAGCTTAGATCAGGCTTACAGCCTTTATCTGATGCTAGACTGCTCCCTACTGGTGTGAAGATGAACTACAATAATGATAATAAAAATCCTGAGTTTATTACCTACGTAAATAATGTTTTAAAGCTTTTTGCAATGATAGAGCAAGATTAACTCTTGGATATTATTTACACAATTAAATATTACTCATTAACAATGTTTTGCAGTTAAATATTTAATAGATTTAAATAGTAGAAGGAAAAACATGATTACAAAGATCCCACAATTTTCCATTCCACTTATCCAAAAAAGGAGAATTAAGAGAAGTCTTTTTGTACTGTGGGAGGAAGCTGGAGTACCCACGCATGTTTAGGGAGAACATGCAAATTCCGATCAGAAAGCCTCCAGGCTAGGAATTGAACCCAGAACCTAAGTGGGCTATTATGACAAATAATGAATTTGTATATTGTTTACTCTACAAGAACTTCTACTTTTTTTTACATTAAATTATCATTACTCATTTAAGGACCAAATATATGTATCTCCTCTATATCTTTCTTCTTCAGGAGTATAACTCAAAAATAATTGCATATATAATTTTGTATATATGACATTTCTCTTCACCACTACTTTATGCACTGTGCTTTAAGGCAGCCTATGTTTCCCTTAAGATTATCCAGGTAATCTCAAATTAATTTTTATTTTCATTAGTTCATCCTCTAACTTGAAATGAAATAATGGTTCCTCCTCTTAGTTTCTGCTTTAGAAAAGCTTTTCTCTGGGATCAGACCTGGTATGAGGAAAAACCTAGGAGCTTTAAACTGACTTACTTTAAGGTATTTTGGTAGAATTGATTTCCAGACTATGAACTTTCATATGATGGAAAATGAAACATTATTTTTCATACTACGTTACTTGAATACCATCTCCTTTTTTCTATTGGTTGCACTAACCAATCACTTAATATTAGACGGATATTACCAGCCCTCATATTTCAGAGACTTTATTAATCATGTTGAATTAAAATGATTGCAATAATGTACCATCTGGAGAACAGAATAAAACAAAGTATGTCAAAGCAAGTCATTAACACTTAGGATCAGTCAATCATTTTATTGACAATAAGATTTCTCAAACACAGTTAAAGAGATAAAAATTGCAACATCTGTTGGCGGCTTAGAGCGCATCCCAGCAAGTTGTGTAACAGAGCAGTTATTCTATCCTCAATCACCTTGCAATCAAGACTTCACTGAATATCCCTCCACAGTGATGGTGTTCCTGTCAATATGGTACAAATCTATGTAGTATATAAAGAATACTTTGTTTTTTGTTATTGTCAGTAATTGCAAAAATATCGCTGTAAGCTTGGTGAAGAGGAAATAAATCCTCAGATCAGTGTACGTTAACAACCATGACAAACAGGTTCTCCATTCATTTTACTTTAAAAAAAAAATGTAAATCTTAATTCAAATAGATAACAAATCAGACACACTTCCTTCCATGTTTCAGAATTGTTGGGAAAGCTTACAAACCCCCCAGAAGGATAACTTTCCAACTATGCTCCGCACTGAACTCCTTGTTGGATCCTCTGCCAGTAGACCTGCATTTGTGAAATACTTGTTGTAGTCATGGCGATGACTTTTGAGAGATCGCAGCTGCTCAGAGGATGCTGGGGGGTTACCTGAAACATGCTTTCATCAGGAGGGTCAGTGGGGGAGATACCCAGGCGTTTCAGGCACATCCCCAGATATGCATCTTCAATGTAGATGGGTTTGATTTGAGGGGAAACAGACAAGATTTTCTTAGGTAGATCCAAAGACATAACGTAAGCCATGCCAAGAGGGTAGGGTGGGTACTCTGATTCTGCTATTACGTCTCTTGGCATATAAAACTTGATAAATGGGTTTCTTAACACTGGGCTGTGCCACCATACCAAACCTGTCATGTAGTTTTCTTTAGGTGTCTTCAGATCAAGTAACAATGAAACTAACTTTTTAACATGAAGCAAAATATCTGAGTCAATTTTCATTATGAAGGTAGACTTGCTGCAGTGCTCAGCCAGCCACTCTAGCATAACCATGGTCTTGATGGTCAAGTTGTGATAGCTGTCCTGGAAATTACTCTGAATGAGATCGTGGTGCTGCTTGTTCTCTTCTCTAAGTTCATCCTGCAGCTGCTTAGCAGCCTTCCCTCCAGGCAGTCCCACTATAAAGACTGTCTCAATCTGCTGACCAAGGACAAGTTTCTCGCTCCCCCACGTCCTTCGGATGGTGTCCCTGGATGCCACGTTGGCAGGAGCGACAGGAACCATCAAGATCAGGAACGGACTGGTGGTCTTACACGTTGGTGTGTCGTCCATGATGAACCTGTAGTTCCGAGGGTAAGCCACATGATACGGGCCTGGGTCCTCCCACTTTGGTTCAGGTGTTTGAGAGGCTGTAAAATTGTTTTTTTTATATCCTGGACCATACAAGGGCTCAGACTTATCCTCAGCAGTCAGGTAAATAATGGTGACAGTCACTCCCACCAAAATGCCGATGAAAATCTTCTTTAGTCTTCTCCTGTTCTCCATTAAAACTATGAAAAGAAAAAGAAAAAAAAGTAATTATATTAAAAACTCTGCAGAAATTCATAATTTAAGATTTTATCTAAATATGTTATAATTGAGAATAAACTAAAAGCCTTTGAATTCAGTCCAATTAAAGAACATTTAAAAAGTAAATACATAAACATTATGGGATCCTGCATGCGACGCCCTTTCATTTGGAATTAGTTTCTATAGATCAAGATAAATTCACCAGTGAGGTTTTAATTCATAAGCTGAGTCAAGCCTGGCTGAAAAAATATCTAACTAAAAGCGACCAGTGAAAGCTTTTGGAAAAGAGAGTAGCAGATTATGACAATACGCCCCTAACTGAAGTAAACGAAGCCAAAGCAGAACAGACACATTTTTACTGAGATCCTTTACTTTTAAATCCAGAAAGTTTCTGAGTAAATCATGAAACAGGTAAAATTAATCTTTTCCTCAATCCTTTTCAGGCATACAGGTAGGACATTTAAAATGTGAAAATGTGATTTGTAAATAACATGATTCTGTTAGAAATAAACTTCCACTTGGGGAAATGTCTATAAAATAAACTCATTTGTCACTTTTTTTTTTTTTTTTTGGTACACTTATAATCAGCCAATCACATGGTAACCTCAATCACTGAACCATGAAGGATCCGTTCTTCAAGTTCAATTTACATGTTTTGGTTATATTTTTGGACCGAAACAACAGAACTTATGAGAAAAAATAGGCATACCTCTTAATACAAATCTCCATTGGCATCCACAAGCCAAACCACTTGAATAAGATTCCATATCAGCTAAAAATAAGGATAAATTACTATTTAAAAAGCTCTGTAAGTTACGCTAAAATGTTTTGTTTTAAGGGAACAACGTTAGACACAAACACAGCAGTTCAAGCATTCAAATTTAGGCATTTTGAACTTAGCCTTACTCATAAAGTTTGATAACTTTAGATACATTACAGCCAGCCTAACTGATACTGTAAGGTGAGCCTTTCTGTTAACTACTGATCTTGAGAGATAGTTCAGTTTAAAATAACTCTGCACCAAGTGGGAGGGAGAAAGCTGCAGCACAATAAAACCGGTTATTCAGGAAGATGGGGAAACAGGTTTAGCTCCTATAGATATTTTATTTATTCCCTCTTTACTTCACCTATATTTACCATTTTTCAAACTGATTGCAAACCATCTACACTTTACACCCATACTTAGTGTATTAGTTTTCAACATTTGCACAAAGCCAGTTTATCGTTTAAATCTTTATGGCTTAAAAAGAGATGAATACCGATGTGCCTTAACAGTTAAAGGAAGAGAGAGAAACTCCATTAGGACCACTTCATGTCAAACTTTAAAATTCAATCTTTTTTTCTTTGAATTTGAGGAGAGGTAGTAGAAATTCACAACAAAAAGATGTGGACAGTACCTGAGAGCAAGTTCCTGCACGTCAAAACTGAGAATACAAACATCCCAAAATTCTATATCTAGAATAAAACATGAACTAAAAGCACATGTAGGTAAACTGAACCAGAATCTGATCAAGAAAGACTTGATCTATCCACAAATGAAATCAAACCTACCCTCTGCTCTCTGCTGACTCCCTGCTCTACTTGCTAAACACAATAAGGAAGATAAAGCATCATGTCTATTTAGAGCTGAACAGTAAAAAAATGAAAAGAAAAAAGGTTGAAACAAACAAAAAAGAAGATCCCGCCCACCAGAACTTTCAGCTTGGCACTGAGTTCAAAATCTGCTCATGTTTTTTCAGTCAGTAAGGGAAGGGCAAAATATCTATGCTCCAATCAGTCAGCCAGTGAACAAAAGCAGGTAGGATTTAATGGTTCTGCATAGTTGCAAAATCCGGTATTTCTTAGAAAAAAAAAACCACTATACTTTCAGTCTGTAAAAGCATAAAACAAAGGCTCTGTTCATTGATGCATCATTAATTATAATCATGCAATGCCTTAGGCTTTGATGGTTGTTAGGTATACAAAGTGCTGGTGAATATTCTCAGTCATCCAGGTCGTAGTTATTCCAAAAAAGTAAAAAAAAAAAAAAAATCCACTTACTTTTTTTGTTAGTTTGAAGACATTTCGCTGCTGACAATGACCCTGAAATTGTGAGATACCTCTAAGTTTGTCGTTCGGCAAAACCTAACAAAGTGTTTTCTCATATTTAAGGACTCCCATATAACATTGATTCTTAGGTTTAAATATTTTACTATCACATATTGAATTAATGCATATTTTTATACACCCCAAATCTGAAAAGGAACTAAATATATCATGGCCGTATGAAGTTAAGACATATAAACCAATAAACTATAAACTAAAGTAGATTAATACTGCAAGCTCTGACAACATTGACTCTTTGCAGAACTGTGGTCAGGAATGTGCTAAAACCTAAACCCAGTATTGTCACATAGTAAAGGGCAATGAAACATCTTTTTTTTTCTTTTTTTAAATTTGGGACAGCTTATTGATTTATTGACAAATGCTCGTGCACAGTATTAACATATTTTACTTTGCTGGATTCAGCATACGATGGGTCAATGTTTCTCTTTTATATTTGGGACCATTCATACTTTTAGCATTGACTGTGCATGCTACGGACAGGTTTGTAGTTGGATTACCAATTTGAAAAGGGAGGCTTTGCTTTTGAACTTCTGGCCAGAGGAAAAAAAAAACAATATGTAGCCAACTTTTCGAAGAAGAACGTTGTCAAGATGACTTGGATAATAATGCGTTGTGACAAACACCAGATACAGCACTGGGACTTGATCAACAGCCGATACCGCACCATGACGTCACAAACCAGTAGGTGGAAGTAGTGTTCTTTCACAAGCATGGATGTCTCTGGTTAAGCCCATTCAAATGAAAATTACAATGAATTAAAACCACTTATCATTTATTGAACAGTGTGTAATAATTTCATATTTAAGTACTTTCAGAAGTTTGAAGTCTGAATATGACTGGACTTTTCCTTTTAAGGGAGTAACTTGTCTCACATTAACGACAATACAACTTTCTGAAATCAAAAATCTTATATAAGAATGGATTTACTAATGTTCCTTTTTACTCTACATACCTCAATACCAGACAAAGTCCTGTCTTCAGAAATCGTTGGATGACTGTGTGGGAGGTGGTTGTAATAGGAGATGAGTGTGAGGAGCTGTTTAACTACTTTGAGGCATGTGTCGAAACAATGATCTGATCCTGCATCTGAACAAAACAAAGAAATGACTGCAGACTTCGGAAGGATCAAGTCAAACACTGCTATATTTCACAACAATGACCTCTTCAAAAATTGTTGTAGGTCACTTAAAGTCATCAGTATGTATGTAGATTTAATTGACTACAGCAACATGTCCTCATGTTCAGAATCTGGTTTTATTGTTTAGACCAAATAAGGAAGGGCATCGATTATCTATCAAAAACACCATCAGACTTGGGCCAAACTAAGCGCGGTGCCAACCACAGATACCAAATGGACCCCTTGCGCAACTCTACTACTTCCTGTTGTCCAGTCAGCTGCTTGGTTTCTTGTCTTTCATTACTGGACATTAAGCACATTGGATTTAATCATTCTGCCCAGTAATGAAAGACTGGGAGCAGATTAGTTCGCTGAAGTCCCGGAAGTAAGGTGGAGTTGGGGATTCGGAGCGCGCGCGCTCCCGGTGCTCTCCACAGAACTCTGTGCGTCCATTCAGCCTACCTGTGCGTTGTCTGCTTCTTCTAAACAAACTTTCTCTCTGCGACGTCTTCTCTGGGATATAGGAATGCATCCAGCCCGGTGGAAGTCATGTTAAGAGTAGAAGTAAGAGTAGTAGAGATGATCTAAAATAGACGCTACGTAAACAAGTGCGTGGAAAGTGGAAGGTGCTGCTTAGAATCAACCTATTGACATCTCAGAGAGAAGACACGCCCCATACTTCCTAGTTTGCTCTACCTGAGGCGGATAACAAAGCAGAATCAAAGTTAAAGGAGCATTACTTCAACAGATACTCAAATAAAAGTTGTCAAGTCATAATTCTGAGATGAAAATCAGAATTTTGAGGAAAAAGTCAGAATTCTGACTTTTTCTCATATTATACTGAAATAAAATGTAAAAATCAGTTAACTTTTTTTTTTTCCATTGGCCCTAATCCTCTTCCGTAGTCATCCAATACGTTACTTAGGTAAAAAAAAAAAATTGGTGAAAAGGCTACTGAAGTACTGAGTAATTGTTGGATGTTTAGTTTTACATTTTGATTTTACCCTTCTATGATGATTTTACCTGTAGCACTTTGAGATTTTTAAAAAATGTAAAGTGCATTACAAATAAAATGTATTGTTATTATTATTATTATTATTATTACTAACGTCTGATTTAATGTTTAGAAATTATGCAGACTTTATGTACAGGCTCAGGTATTTTAAAGACTAAAATGCATAAAGATTACAAATAAATGTCAAATATATAAGAAGAAATTCATACTGAAGAAATAGTTTTTGTTTAAAAAAAAAAAAAAAAAGTTAGTACTGTAAATTTACAGTCATTTTTACTATTTTTCCAAGGCTGCACTTTTAAAAGATGAAATTGTCCAGTGAGCTGTTTCCAGATTATATTTCTTTTCGTTTTACACTTGTGTAAACAAAATGACATATAAAATCTGTCTAAAGTCTAAAAAAGTCTAAAGTCTAGTTTTACCAAACAATTTTTTTCTACTTAAAACTTAAATTAAAAAAAATCAACCCTTACAGGGAGAATTGTCAGGGGCGGAGCTAGATGGGGGGCCTTAGGTGGCCATGGCCACCCTTAGCCAATCCGTGGTCACCCCTACCTTTATTTCCTTCTGGCAGCAGTAATACTCTCAAGTGTATATTCAAAACATTTTTTTTTTTTTGGTTAATTATGCACATCAGTATACTAACATCAAAGATGATAAGTACAGAATTCCTGCTCATTTCAGATCTAGATTTTGTGTTCTATGGGGTAAAGAGAAAAATATATCTTTACAAGTAATCTAGGAGTCTTCAGTGAAAGCAAAGATAAATAACTATTTTAATATTAACTTATCAAATAATCAATTTATGTAGATATTGGTGCTTATAAATATCAATTTTATGCAGAATGTTTATTAATACAAGTAGGTCAGTCATGACAATGATGATTGATTTACGCCCAAAAACTAAAAACTGAGTTTTATCCACTACACCTTTTTATCTAGAAATGACGGATGTTTAAATATATGCCTCTATTTGTTAGCAAAGGCTGAAAGTATAGTTTGTCTTTATTTAGAAAATATGGATGTTTTGCTTGTTCCTGCCAGAACAGTGTAGATTGACCCTGAGGTTCTGGTGCTTATCCGCTTTCGGCCACCCCTCAGTGTACATTGGTTATTGCCTGGCCACCCTTATAAAAAAATTTATGGCTACGCCTCTGAGAATTGTATATATGTCCGGACATGGTAAAGAATTTACACTGACAATATCTATTTGCAGTATGATCTCCGGATCTTGAAATAATTCAAATTACTCACAGAGGACAGAGGACTCAGAAAATTAACTCAGGTAGGAGTAGCAATACTTAACATTATTATTACTCGAGTAAAAGAAGTACAGTACACTGAAACTACTCCATAAGTATTTTTATTTTTCAAAATGTTACTAGTAAATGTAACTACAGTATTAACACAGTTTTTTAGCCTACTGTTGCAATAAACAGGTTTATTCTCCTTTAAAAGGTTTAACCATCAACATAAAACAACAGTACAACATCTCCAATGACTTTCAAGATTCAATAAAAGATATCCACTAATCAAAAAATGTCAACTTAATAAGGAGTGTAACTCAAATAGCCTAATCAGGAGCCATCTTTAAGACTATTAGAGTCCTATCAAAACGATTTTTTTAAACTAAGTATATTTTACGTTCATGTTTTCAAGTATACAGAAGTATATACATCCCAAGATGGTTGATGCAAGTATACTAGAGGGTTACTAAAACTTCTTGGGACAATATGCTTTACCTTAAAGTACCCATCTTTTAGTATACTTTTACTTCACTCATATTAAAATTCCAAGTCTGATTTTAGTTAATAAAAGTATAATGGAAGCATGCTTTAGTTTGTGGAATAATGCAACTCAGGTTTACTGTTTAGTGTGCCAAAATATTTGTTTTAATTCAATTCAATTGAGTTTATTTATATTGCACCAATTCAAAACACTTATCATCCCAAGGAAATTTACAGAGACAATTCAACCAGATCATACAGGCAGATGGATTTCAGGTTTTCTGTCTAAAAAAAAAACAGCTGATTACATCAATTCATTGACTTGACTGGAATCCCTCACACCGAGCATGCTTGTGGTAATAGTGGAGAGGAAAACCGTCTTTTAACTGGAAGAAACCTCCACCAGAACCAGGCTCAGTGTGAGCGGCCATCTGCCGAGGCCAACTGGGGTTCAAGGAGACAGAAGCAGAGATAGAAAAAGAAGTGGAGATACAAAAGATAACTGCCAACCAGCTCCACGGGTGGCCCAGGAAAAACAAGGGCAGACAAGCTCCGAGGCAGCTCCCATGTCAGAGGATGAAAGAGAGTACATCCAGTTAGTCACAGTCAGAGAAACAGGACTACACTGAAAAACAGGCAAAGCTCAAACATCAACGTATAAAAAAAGGTGTTAATGGCACCAGCATAGCTGATATTTCTCTCCAGGATTGTGTCACAGCCAAACAGGAACAGACCAGATGAAGCTGCTATGAGAAAAAGCAGAGAGAGCAGAACGTTAGACATTGAAATCACAAATTCTGCAAAATGGGAGAGTAAAGATAGAATGAAGCAGAATGATAAAAAGGGGTCCCTACCTTCTAGCAGTCTAAGCCTATAGCAGCGTAACTATAGTGATGGCTCAAGATAGCCTGAGCCACTCTACCTATGAGCTTAATCAAAAATTAAAAGTAGACAGGGTGTCTGTCACATGGAATAAAACTGGTAGTTTGTTTCACAGAAGAGGAGCCTGATAACTAAAAGATCTGCTCCCATTCTACTATTTTACGAGCACTTCAAACAGCCTTGCAGTTATACTTCAACTCAACTTTTAATGCCGAGTAAATAACAAACAAACAAACAAAAAAAAAAATACAAAGAGAAATCAAATGGCAAAATTGATTTGTTTATTTTATTCAACAATTAGTTTCAAATAAATTCTTAACTTAGATTTTAACCAAAGAAGTATAAAGAACAGTGAAGTGAATCAGAAGAAGTGTGTAAAAAAAAAGTTATGATAATTGTGAAATAGTTTAAAGATTCAAATCCCTATTTTCATTAAATAGTTTGTTTGTCATTTTCGTTGTTGCATTTTGTTATTACTTTTCTCACATCCTCTACCATCAGGAAATGTTTTCAAATTTTGTCAGGAAATTTTGACATTTTGACAAAGCATGACACAAAAGCAAAGACAACTTTAAATACATTTCTCAAATCAGAGCTGCACAGAAAAAAAGCATGCCTAATTATTTTTGCTGTTGGTTCCTTTTGTTGGCCTGTAAACCCACTGTCACTACAGAAATGTCTTCATAATGTCCTGTTCACAATGTTTTTGCATTGCCTATTTTGATTATTAAAAAATATATGTTAAATCAAAATATGTTGAATTCAATTCAATTGATACCATTGAGTATTTAATGACAAAATTTAATGATTATCATTCTGTTTCATGATTCACTGTATCACCGTTTTCAAAGCAAAGCTAAAGGTAGGAAGGAACACCACTTCCTCTGACCCCATTAATTGCATTGCAATACAGCTTTTCCACCACTAGATGTCAGACTACATGTATTTCTTGTTATGAATCTTAGGGATTTTTTTAATGTCCTATTACATTTTCAAGTGTAGAGCATTTGTTTGATTTAAAATTGTTTAAATAGAGATTCATTTCTAGAATGATAATTTGTTAAAGATTAAGAAAGGACTAAACTGTATAATTATAAAAATCAATCATCTTTGATTAGGTTTGATTTCTGTGATCATTTGCGCATGGCTAAAATAACTCTTCTATATCCTCTATCCAGCTCTTTTCCTGCGGAAGTCTGCACACTATTGCACGCTAGAAGTTTTCCGTTTATTTATGCAACTCCAGATAAAGATCTGAAACAGTAACAGAAAATTACCAATATAAGATCAAAACAATAGCTTGCTTTTTAACAAAAAATGACAGCCATCATTTCATTCTGTACATTTCATTGCTTTTTGAATATTCATCTCAAAAACTGTGCCAGCAGGAAAAAGAACAAGTATTTTAGTAACAATTATAAACATAGATCAAGATTACACACAGGTTGGCATAACCAATGAAGCTGTAAACAGGATTTCCTTTTGATAAGTTGCAGGACATTGTTACTGCTTTCACATTACCTGCTGCCAATTTCACAGTTAAGTTTGCCAACCCAATACGTAACAACATCGAATTTCTGAGTTGGAAGTCTTCAGAAAACAATAAATAAAAGCTTGTATTTCCTTATAGAGTATTAATAAAGGGGAAAACAGGTCAATGTATTTCAGCTTGATTCTGTTAATAACAAACAATGATTTATCGAACAGATTTTTTAGAACAACCAATAATAAAAGGACAGTTTTAATTAAATTTATAAAAAAACATATCCCTACCTCTTAATCTCTTTGTGAAATGTATCATAAGCAACCAACAAATGTGGAAAAAATACAAAATAAAACAGGGGTAAAAAAGACTTGATATATTGTGCAAAATACACTCCTGATCATATCCAAACAGGGGTGAACATGATAATAGAATGTAAATATTAAAATATTTCGTCTGTTTCTGATTCCTTCAGGGATTTCCTAGGTTATATTATGTATATTGTAGGAGAAAACCGCTTCATGCTGTGAATTTGTCTTCTCTCCCGCCTCCTTTAAACAAGAATCCGTTCTCTTTCAACTAACCAGGTTCATTAAAAGCTGTATAGAAGAAAAATATCTAAATGTTGACAATCTGGTACTTCTGCATAATATTGCTATTTGCTCATTAAGTGATGTATCATCTTAAGTCTTTATTTTTTTATACAAAAAACACTGGTATAAGTTTTAACTTTCACTAACCGTTAGTGCAAATCAGAATGCACTTTACTTGTACGTCATTATTGTTGATTTGCTTTTAAATAAAGTTATTAAGTTATAGCTTCAACTCTATTAGGTTAAAGGTAGTTTAATACAGTGGCTCTTAGTTGTCAAATTTAAACAGTTCTACATTCAACTTGATAAGATTTAACAAACCCATCAAATAATTTAAAAAAGTGTTTTGGCCTATATGTTTTGTAATGGCTCTGTTCATAAATTTCAATAACTTGCACAGAAGACATGGTTAGGAATGTTTAGAATTCTATTTCAATAAACACTTTAAGAAATCATAAAGTCTTTAACAGTATAGTCCTATATCGCTCCTCCTTAATTTAAAAATTTGTTAAAATGATTAACCTAACCACATTACCTGGATTTGCTTGCTCTTTCTATGCTTCATGCTTTGTTCTTTTTGTTGCATAATTAAATATATATCCTGAATCATTTTGTGAAGTGTAAGTAAAAGGAAATTGATTTATGTTTATATTATTTAGGGATCATAGATAAATAGTCATGCTTGCATTTGCATTTACAGTAGCAACCCGTTTTTTAAGTCTGCTAAAAACATGTACCAGCATCCCACATCAGGAAAACATTCCCAATTCTCTCCTCAGAACTTGCTAAAGGTCAATCTTTTTTTCTTTTTAAGTACACAGCTTTACCATAAATTAATGTGAAAAATATGCAGAATTGTGAATATTCCTGCAAAATACTCCTATTAGAGATTGACTACTGTTTTTTTTTAAGCCGCTACTGTGTATTTTTTTTTCTTTCTTCTCACTTCTCTGTTTTGTGCTGGGTTTTTTTAGGGTGGTGTTTTTTTGCGTATTTTGTTTTCTATTCCTCCATTAACATATTAAACATGACACAACAATAACAAATGTTTCACAAGTCTTAATCTAAACAAAAATAAACATTTATCAAAGAATAAGCAGATGGAAAGAGCATCAATAAGTGCACTTCAGATGACCTCAAGGTATAGCTGCTTAATGCGCTAATGAATCAGTAATCGTCTGTGCATATTGACCTATGCCAATACCAGAAAACAATGCAAATACACACCATAAATATTGGCTGGCCAATCTCTAACTTTTCCCAATGCAGAAGCATTCTAATCTGGTTTAGCTTCAACAGGATAACCTTATTAGAATCAATGGATGCAACATCTGCAAAAGGTTGACTTTTGTTTTATTTAACACATCTATCTTTAAACTGTTTTGGAAATGAGAAAGTTTAAAAATCTTATTAAGAATAATTTTTCGTTAAATACACACTGTAATGTCACAATCTATGTTAGTTCACTTTAAAATAAAGTATTTAGCATTCAGTATTTTTTTTTTTTTTTTTACGCAAACTTTCAGTTTCACTTCATAGTGCAATCCAATCTGGTTTCTTAATTGGGATATAACTTCTTTAAAAGTAAATATCCAGTGTAAAAAAGGCAACATTAAAAAACATAAAAAAATTTTTTACAAATGTAACTTTATTCCCAAGGGGGTTTTTTTTGTTTTTTTTTTTTTTTACTAAAACTTCGGACAATGAGCTCCTGGTTTCTTATAGTCTCTCCAATACTCTAACAATTTTTCTGAAGAATCAAGAATGTATGTTATGACCTTAGAGAATTCACAGCGATCATACTTGTTATTATAAGCCTTAAACTGCGAAGGATCTGGTGGAGATTTGGGTGAAAGTCCAAGCTTTTTAATGCACTCTCCAATGTAAGCATCCTCTATATTAAAAGGCTTGATAGATTTTGAGACCTCCACAAATTTTGCAGGCAGATCGTTGGAAAAGACATATCCCATTCCCAAAGGGTATGTCGGATACTGCGGATACGGGTAAACCTCCTCTGGGACGTACCACTTGGAGTCCTTTGTCCGGATAACAGGCACATTTCCCATAATCATTCCTGTCAAATAGTTCACTCTAGGGATGCCAGGCATCTTTAGCATGATCACCAGATTATCAATGTTCAGGAACATATCTGAGTCCACTTTCATGCCGTATGTTGCTGTAGGGCAGCGTGTAGCCAACCAGTCCATGATTACCATGGTTTTAATGGTCAGGTTGGAATATGTGTCCGTAAAGTTACTCAGGATAAGGTCCTGATGCTTCCGATTCTCCTCTGTGAGTTTCTCCACATCACTTTTCCAATTGAGACCCAACATAAAAAGGGTGAGTACAACTTCCCCCTGAACTACTTTGTCTTTGCCCCAAGTCTGACGGATCACATCCCGCGCAGCAATGTTTTCTGGTTCTACGGGAACCATCAGGACCAGAAAAGGTGTGTTTTCATAGCAAACCTGAAGGTTATCCATGATGAAGCGGTAGTTGTGTGGATATGCTTCATGGTACTGAAGACCTTTAGCCTGTATTGGAGAGGGTTCTTGAATTTCCTTAATTTCATTTAATTTAGCTTTGTGTTTAGGATGGACTCGATAAGAGGGAGCATTAACCTGATGAACTCGTATAAAAAGCCAGCGGTATGAATTTTTGAGAGAAACACTTTCCCATAGTGATTGGGTGTTGCTGCTTACGGCATAGCAGAAATAAAGGATTAGTAGACAAAAAAGAACCAAGAACTGAAACCAAAATTGAAATGAAGGTTTCTTCTCACGAAATGGGTTAGGGTCCTCAAGAGGTTTTTCTGAAATGAAAAGAATAAAATCATTATTAGTGTATTTGTATCTTCAAATATTTGGGGTTAGAGGTACCCCATGTATAACTCTGGTCTTTACCTCCATCCACAAATCTGTCAAATTCTAACGTAAACTCTGGCTGGGCCCTTCCAATAACCTATTATAATTTGTAAGCAGTGGCGTGCACACCCTTTTTGAAGGGCAGAGTCAGAGAGAAAAAAAGGACACATATAGCATGTGCTCACCACTGTAGAGGGCACGTTAATATGGGTTTGGCTACCAGGGGCAAATTTTAGCATGCATTTGGGATCCAAGAGGGCACTTTACTATGCCTTTTGCCTCAGGAGAGGGCATTTTAGAATGGGTTTTGGCTGGGCAAGGGTGCACTTTAAAGGAGGTCATAGAATGATTATATAGGGTATTTGGTGCTGGTCCTTAAGCCTGGCCCCTTTTCCTGTCAGCCAACTGTTGAAAAAAACTAGCCACTAGTGCTGTAAAGAATAAGAAAAAAAAATTGTCTTTATTCCAAAGTGAAAGATTTTTGTTTTCTACTACAAAAAAAAAAATTGAATTTAAAATGGAAATGGTCTATTTTTTTATTTACAAATTAAATTTATGACATGGATGCATAAGTACCTGCATTTTATTACAGTGTTAAATGATGTTCAAAAGCAATGGATTATCATTAAAATGTCTCCAGACCCTTCCTGGTTGTTGATTTTCTTCATTCTGACCCTACTAATTTTTAGTGGGTTACCCCTGCTCTACGGTCTACATTTAGACTTAATGAATTTGTATAGCTAAAAGAAAAACATAATATTAAGTATACTTAAGGACAGAAGATGCTAGTATGAAAACTCTTTCTGAAACATGCTTGTGGGCTTGGAAGACAAACAGGAAATCAACCAAACCCCAAGCTACCATCCCCATCCTTTTTGCTCTGTTTTCATCTCTAATTTTACTTCTTTGCCCTATTTAGCAACTAAAGTCTGCAGGAGTTAAGATGTTTTTCACTTTAGTATGTAAGAATATCTGAACAATGGGTATATAGGTACATCTTCAGGAGACGAGTTGACTGTACAAATGGCAGTAAGATCAGAAATCTGAAATTTTCTGTTTTATTCAATAACTGCAGTAACCTACAGACAAGAAAAAAACAAACAATCAACCCAACGTTAGCGTAAGTTCAAATAAAATCCTGTGTTATTTCACATTTTGCATTATGTTTTGACAACTGAATATTTCATAACAGGTTTTTCTTTTTAAAAAAGGAAAAATAGAACGCACTTTTTACAAAAACTGACAAGAATTAAAGGTTTTCAGCTTATAAATCATCTAAAAAGCACCTGGTGGGAATGCAAATAGAAAAAGAAAAAAAAAGAAGTAAATTTAGAGCTTACTCGAGTAGAGGGCTGACATCCCGCATATCACAGGAAAACATTTCCATTAGTCGCATTTATCAACCTTTATCCACCTACAAAGCGGTGGATAACATAACATGGACCACTTTTCTGTTTAGATGGAGGAGCTGAGAGAGGCTCAGCTTGGGAGTCGTGGTCCTGCAGACAATGACAGCTTCCTATGGGGAGCCGCTCTTTAACACCATGGGAGGGGCGGCTACTTCACCTTAGATTTAGATAGAGAACAGATTATTTAAGGACCCTTAGAAATAGGCTGCATTATTTGGCTGCTGTTCTCCACTGATAAGCAGAAGCCATTAGGGTGTACTTCCTAGGGAAGCGTATTGCTGTGTTGTGGTTTTTTTTATACTTGTGATATTTCAGATTTTTATTGCCCTCCCCGGTGCGTGTGTATGTGTGTGTGTGTGTGTGTGTGTGTGTGGGATATAATTTCGGTTGTTATATACTGTTTGTGACACAGCCCTACTAGCTGTGTGTTAGAGCAATAAATAAAAGAGAGATTTGAGCTCAAATCATGGTCAAACAGTTAATTCTGCACATACATGGAATAAATTTACCACAACTTCTGTTCAAAATATAAGAGTTTATTAACAAAAATCATTCAGCTCCAAGTCAAACATTTTTCAGTTTAACACTCTCAATTAAGACTAGTGAAACTAAACTAAACTAAACTAAACTAAACTACTATGTATAAAGAGGAAGTGAAACATGGTTGAAAAACATATTACAGGTTAAGATGGATTTTTGTGTTTGAAACCAAAGTTTATCTGGAAGAATCTGGGATGTGATCAAATTAGCTTTTCACTAATTTAAAAAAAAAATTGGAATGTTTCAGACCAATTCAGAATGCAAATCCATGAGGTGAATAAAACATTTTTTGGCCAAATTATGTTTTATTGAATGATTTGCTTAATCAAGAACCAATAACCTGTAGTCAAATGATTCTTTACCCTCGTTGAAATAGCTAGCAGCGAATAGACATCAGGATTCCACTAAATGACTCTTGGTAATGGAAATGTGATGAGCAGATGAGGAACACATGAGCACTAATGTTATATCAGTGTTTAAACCCTTAGTGAATAAAGCTTGTCCAAGCTTCAGCAACAGCTTAACACATGTTACTATAGCATAGCATAGCATGCAGTCCATTCTGTTAACGTTGTCTTTACTCATCAGTAAACACATGTTGTTTGTTCTGTCCCTAATCATGCCAGACCTGCAAACCTTTTTCCATGTCCATTGGGGGGCTTCAGTTTCCTCCAGCTGCAGCTCAGCAGTCGGGGCAGCAACAACCAGGGGTTTCTTTGTCTCAGTCTCATACAGCAGGGGTCCTCTTTGCAGAAGTCCCCCAGCTGTTATTCACCAAAGCTCCGTGTTTTCCACTGGTCATCCTGTCAAGATGAAATATGGTCACTGGTTCCCAGTGTCCAAAGACCATGATCATGGCATATGGCACAACAGCTGTCACTTGAGAAAATACATTTTTGCTAATTAAATTGTATAAAGGTAATAATTATAGTGTATAAACGTGATAACTTTATCCAGGTGGTTGCACTTATATGCTTTTAGTCAGTAGTGACCATGAGACTCATTTAAGACGAAAAAGTTGGCGCTCCAAGTAAATGTTTGATTAGACATGATAACTATTGTAACAACGTCATCCAGGTAATGGTGGGATGTTTCCACTCTGCATGGCGTCTCCTCTGCAGCACAATGGCAAATTTACTGGAGTTGATCAAGTTTAACTTTATGCTCGGTCTAAGACACGGAGAGATATTGATGCTCCTGCAAACAGTGGATGAGATCAGTATTAGCATGCGCACATTGAGAATTGAGAAGGATCCTCCAATTAATGGGACTCTACAGAAGAAAACATCAATCAGATCCTCTAGTTATCCTCTATGTTTTTGTGTTTTTTAAGATTTTTTTTTTCTTTTTTTTAAAGATTTTTTGTAATTGAAAATATCAAAATTTACCGACAAAGATAGCATAGCATAGAGCTCGTTTCTTCAAGTCAGGATACATAGAAAATATAGCCAGCGGGAGAATCTCTTCATACAAATATGAAATATATCTATAACATAGACTTGTTATAGAGGGTTATTAACGTAAACATTCAAATACATAAAGCCAAATAAATAAACAAATTTAAATAATAAATTATAAGAATAATTATAAAATAAATACAATCACATAGAATCAAATTATAAGACAGGATAACATAAGGGGGGAATTCGGTCTTTGTTTAGCTGTTTAATTCTGTTGGGAAGTGTTTTAGGATATCATAAATGTTTTTTAAATTTAGCTAGACATACAATTGTATTGGTGCAGAGCCAATCACCCTTACTTTGCAATATTAGACCAAAATTGATATCGTCCCTGGAGATAAAGGTTGAAAATGAAGATAGCTGTAGCTTAATCCATCTATGCAAATCACACCAAAATGTTTGCACCACTGAACATGAGAACACATGCTCTGTAGTTTCGATATAATTTTCACAGAATGTACGTGTTATCATCTGTACCAAAGCGAAGTCTCAATTATTCTTTAGAGGGGTAAATGTTGTTCATTATTTTGAAATGTGTTTCTTTCACCTTTGGAGGTATAGGTAGTGCTAGAGACGTTGTTCTTAGTTTAGTTTTTGAGCTTTTATCAAATTTTTGTACGATTTTTGTTTTGTCTTTCAGGGTAAAGGTATTTATTCAAATAGTTTCTAATAAAACAGTTAGTGCAATTTCTATCCATAATATTAATCCCTTGAATTGACACAGATCCTCTAGATGTGGTGGCCTTCCTCATTGTCCAGCTGGAGAGATAAAGAGGCCTCTATGGATATAAATTAAAGCACCTTAAATGGGTTCAACACGGATATGTTGTGACTTAGAATACAGTGAGACAAGTTGTAATTTTCTGGAACCAATGGGTGTGGAACGAAGGAGGAGGGGGAGGCTGATGCGACGTGTGTATATTAATCCTGGACTTAAATTCTTCCACAAAGCTGAAGTTGGCTTCAGATTGTAGCTTCTGAATTGGGAAATGAGTAAATGGCGATTCCACTTAATTTTTCACCTACCTTCAGCATCTTTAATCTATTCTAATTAAAAAACTACAACACCTAGACCTCATACTGTTTTACTTTTTCATATAAATCGACATGCTGCATGAAGTTAGGACCTGGTCGTTTAATACGATTCTGAAGCATCAGCTGTAGAACTTGTGGATCTAGGATTGTGTTACGTCGAGCTGTGTTTCACCACTAGGTACGGTTTCCCCTGCATCTCTGCACAGTGCAAGCGACTGTTGCTCTGTGCTTGCGCCACAGCAGAACTATGGAGAGCGTAATTGATAAAATGTAAGCTTATATGGAGAAAGGGAGAAATCGATAGATAGATAGATAGATAGATAGATAGATAGATAGATAGATAGATAGATAGATAGATAGATAGATAGATAGATAGATAGATAGATAGAGGTGTCAAGTAATGAAGTACAAATACTTTGTTACTGTACTTAAGTACACTTTTTAGATATCTATACTTTACTCCATTACTTATTTTTCGGCCTACTTCTGACTTCTACTGATTACATTTTCACACAAGTATCTGAACTTTCTATTCCTTACATTTTTAAAACAAACATTACTCGTTACTCTTGGCTTCGGTTTAATGCAGAGGTCATGGATTAGCGTACCACGGTTCTGATCCGGTTCCACCCGCTGGCTAATCTGGACCTAACCTGATTTAAAACATTTATAAATTACCACATGTTGTCTGACGACAGTGTCTAAAACTCACTTTTGCAGCTTCTCCTGTTACCCCGAAATCCCACATCCTACGTCTCCGCTAGACCCCGCACGCACCAGACCGCCTGCACAAAGTAAAGCCTACAGCCTCCGCTGTTCCTTCCGTCTTGCTGCGCTCCGACTTTCCCTCGGAGCTTTAGGAGAGCATGCGCGATATTATCTTTAAATTCGTAGGAGCAAAACACGCAGAAATGAGAGCTTAATTTAATTTGACACATTAAAAAAATCCCCATCAGCATCCATCATATGAGCGGTTTCTGATGGAGATGAGAAATCTGCTTCCTGGTCTGTTGAAGTACCAATAGTCTGCATCCAATCTTTTAAATAAACGGTGTTAGTTTTTTGAAATATATAAGAATTATGCTCTAATTTGTAGTTATCGTTATTATCGTTACTATATTTTAATTTGTCAAACCGTATTTTTTTGCCATTCTTTTTCTTGTTTGGTATGATTGTAATATTGGACCTTGACCTGGCCAGACCGGAGCAGAGCCTGAACATTTAGAGTATGTTTGGCTCAACCTGCTGCTGTGAAGCAGGGTTCTCCACCAAGAACAGAATAAAAAAAAATAAAAATGGATCCAGGCTCAAAATGAGCACCTTGATATGTGCTTTAGAATGGCTTTGTCTCCATTCAAACCCAGGTTTAAAGCTTTGCAGGGCAGCATGAAGCCCACTACTCTCATTAAGAGAGAAAAAGGAAAGAAAAATAACAGTCAGTTCAGGAATTTTATAAAATATGGGAATCAGGAAATTGTCTATATACCAAACTGAACAATTGTTGTTCTCTACTTCAATAAACACTTTAGATTTTAAATGGAAAAATGTTACATTTTTTTATTTTTTAAATCCTATGTATAACATGGATGCATAAACACCTCATTTTTTTCAGTGTTAAACGCTGTTTTGTCTCCAGAGCTTTACTGGTTGATGATTTTCTTTACTCGGACCCCACAAATTTTTCATTGGTTACCCCTGGTTTAATGTTTATAAATATTTATTTCACGCCATGTGTGCCATCCAATGCAGATCATTGGCGCCATTCACATCTAGTGAAACTAGTGTAATTGGATGAGTCATATAACACAAACACTCATTGGTTAGCTAAAGGAAATCCTCAGAAGCAAGCAGGTGTTCTTGAAACTGCAAACGTGAAATGTCTATGCCGTGCTACAATGTCGGATGCAGAAAAGATGTTGAAATGTCTGAAAGATCGGACACAGACGAGAGCGTATCGGGAGATGGAGACAGAGACCAACAAGACCTCCCTCATCCTTGGCCCTATCTCGTCGTAAAATTGAGC